ATTTATTTTAATGGCAAATTGCCAAAGACTACGTAATTGCACATTAAAGCCGAGCGAAGCGTTTGCGATTTAATTAAATCACTTGAAGCGAAGCTTAGTCCATGTTATGGCAGGTATTTCAGGGATTTAGTTGGATAAAAGCCGCATTAAGCCAATTGCTGGAAATTTGCATGCATAGGCAGGGCGTGCTTATGCAAGCAGCCAGATAAGTAGAGCATCCCCTCTCCCAGCTAGACATGAATCTCTTTTTGCCAAGGAGGCATGGCCGGAGTTCCTGGTTGCTGACTGGCAATAAATGCAGGCAGCCCACAGGTATGCTGGCAGCAGAGCCCCCTCAAGTGGGCCTGAGGTCAGCAATCAGGCATTATATTAGAAATTTGATTTTGATTTTCCATTTGCCGTTTTCCATTTTCCATTTTGATGTGGATGCGTATACCGATTGCTGGCAACGCATTTGGACCTTCAAGAACTCAATTTCAATTGCAATTTTGCCGAAATTGCGATCTGGTAATATTTTCTTTGAAAGGAAAATTTCCATTGAATCACTTCTTGCATGGAAAATTGCTGTCAAAGCAGCGCCTGATGATGATGCACTTCTGGGAAACGTTACTCTCATCATTATTGTAGCGAGAACTGGGCCAAGGATGTGCTACCAAGAAATAATCAAGGCGAACACATGCATAATAAACGGAAGCCAAATTAATTGACTAGAAAGTTGTGAACCTTTTGACAATTTGTCTTCATTACGTGCAGATAAAGAGAAAACTTAATTGCCAGGCATATTTGAATTTTTATGGCGTGCTGGGCGCAATTCCAAGAATAATTGATGTCTTTGGGCATTTTAAAAAGAGATTAAAAAAAAGGAGATTAAATAAAATTTATGTTGTTAAAAATGCATATTTGTAGACGATTCCAAGCTTAATGTTCTCTGTAATATATTTAAATTTGTTCAAGCATACTTTTAGGGGCGACTAGGAATTCAAGAAGAAGGCTAGGGATTGTTGGCAAGTTTCCAGAAATTCTGGATTATTATGGTTGATTATGATCAATGATATACTTAGTTATAAAAAGCATTATAATTATATACTTGAGCCTCCGTAGCTTAGATAAAATTGCCTGAAGTTCGCACCCTGAACTACTTACAACATTAATCTAAAGTCGAAATCTTAAATATAACAGACAACACACATTTCCATTCTTGAGGGCAAGTTCTTACTAAGATTTTTCATGTAATATTATATATATGTATATATATGTTTGTGGATGGATCGATTAAGGGTGAGTTAAAAGATAAGTTAAGTGAGTTAAAAGATAAGTGCAACATCTTAGCCTCAACAGTTTAGGCTGTTTTTTATGAACATATATATGCTTCATTTCATAGCACTTAGTATATATATCTTACTCAGTAGCTTTCTTTCCTACTCTTCTAGCTTAGCTTTCCTTTGAACTCTTCTTCGCGATCTCTCAATTATAAATTCAAAATTCAGATAATAAGGAACTTGCTTGAGGGGCGGGTCCTCGACCATTTTAATCACTTTAAGGGACATCCCTGCAGGATAAGCCACTTGGCAAACAGGCAGAAGACAAATTGAAGGCATCAGCAGGATGTGCTGTGCGGTCTCTCTGGCGTTTATCCTTCAGTGCGCTGTGGTTAGTCACCCGAGAGTGTCTGAGCATGTGTGTGTGTGTGTGTGTGTGTGTGCGTGTTGTGGAACTGCTGCAAGGAGTGCAAGGATGAGCTTTATGTGCTTAATCTGCCGCTTGTTGCTGCCACACTCAATTTATATTTTGTGAGGCCACAGACAAAAGGCCAACCGAAACCGGAGCGAAAAAAAAGAAGGGAAAGGAAAAGTTTATATTTATGCGGCACGTTCATTTGAAGTGTGCAACTTGGCCATCTAATTGCGTGCCAAATTTGTGGCCAACAATTCGGGCTAACAAATTCCGCTAGATAAATCACCGCCGCCGGTTCGGGCGCTTAGTAAGGGGGGAGGGTTGGTTTGTCCCGTTTCGGGGCAGCCGAAACATTTCAAAATTTATGATTTAAATGAGTGCGCATAAATCAGCATAGAGAGTGAAAAACTGCTTAGCCAGGGCAAACAGCAGCAAAAAGCAACAGAGGAGCGTTAAAGCCGAAAGTCATAAAGTCAAGCAATGCGAAATTGTGGCCCCGCTGCAGCTGATGTGAAATGCCGCCGTTTATTTACACTTCATAAAGCTGAAAGAAAAGCGTGGCAAGAGCCAAAGCTAAAGCTGAAGAGAGCTCTGTATAAGTTCTTGCTTATGTTTTCTTTAATATACCCTACAGTAAAAGGGTATACGGGGTTGATCAGCACATTACACACACGTATCTCCGACTCTACAACTTCTATTTAGCTGCTTCTATTTGCTGTGGCAATATATACATATATCGGAAACTGACAAATCGGAGCAGGCAAAGATTGAGCTCAACCCATCTCCAAGTCGGGCACACCCGACTTGGCACTCGCTAGTTTGTTTGTATTTTTCTTTTGCTTTGGCTGCAGCTAAGCGCATAAACAGCTGCATGGATTGCATTGGATTGCCGTTGGGGGGAGGAACTGCATCCACTCTGTGTCCTGGCTTCATTATGTTTTATTTGTTTGTTTGCCTTTGCCTGTGCCTGGCGCATTTGTCGCATGTGTGTGCCAAGGCATTAAATGCTTGACAGGACGCATAGGTAGAGCCGAGGGGGAAGGGGCACAACAAGCTGGGGCAGGCAGGGGCTGGCGCAACTGGCGCCTCGTACGTCGTCTTGTTATGTTGGTCTTTAACGAGCTGCCCCACTCACAGGCTTTGTGTCTATCACTTCTCGTACATCCACATTGCTTCCTTCCCGCGCTTTCTGCGCCTGGTCGCTTTTCAACATTTCGCATTTGCCAGAGCCTTGCCTTTGGTATGTTCGCATTGCCAGTGGCCGTGCTCCGATTTGCTCCTCTTTGGTTCGGCTACCGGCTCTTGTCTTTGTCGCGATTAATGGTCCTCCTGTTATTATTTATTTCGCTTTGTGCGTGTGTATGTGTCGCTTCCTCTGACAGTTGCTTCTGGCCCCCATGTTATTCTGTTCTGTCCTGTCCTGTCCTGTCCTGGCCATGTTGTGTTATCCTTGTTGGCTGGCCCCAGCCATTGACACACGTTGTCAGCGCATTTTTATGCGAATGCCCCCGGAACAACATCATTAAAGCAAAAAGCTCGCATTAAAGTCCACGCACAGCACAGTGGAGCCAAAGAACACCTATTTTCAGTTGTCAGTATTTTGGCCAAAAGTGAGATTAGGACGTTGCCAGCTTGATGAAAGGCTGCGTAGCGTTGCCACATTTCAAGAATCATGTCAAGGATGAAATTAACATCCAAATGCAATTTAAATGTTGATTAGCGAGGGAGAACATTTTGCAGATATAATTTAATATAACTGCCGAAAACAAAATTAGCCTTTTTTTTATTGCAAGCTTCTGAGATTTTTCGATTTATATTTGAAGCAATTCTAAAGTAGATGATATATAATTGTAAAATTTGATACGAGATTTTCTAGAGATTAAAATGTTTGAAATTTTGGTTTTAATAAAGCTTTAATAGCTAACCATAAATTTTACAATAAGTATTGCTGGAAGATATACGAAATATAAGCCCTACTTAAATAATTTTTGGGAAATATCGTCCATTAATCAAACAGTCTGCAACACTGTGCGCCACCCACTAGAAATGCTGTGGTTTTCTCTCATTTTATTGTATTTTTTTTATTATTATTTTGCACATAACACATACCACACGTTAGCCGTGGCGCCCTGGCACCGTGCCTCACACGTGTCGCTGCTGTTGGCCGGGGAAGGAAATACGTAAAAAATGTTATGAAAATCTTTTAAAAATTCCTTGACCCCAAAGCAAATAACAGTGTAACAGGGGCAGAAGCCACACAGAGCGACTAAGTAAACAGCATTTGCGGCCATGCAGAGCTGAAGCTGTGGCCAAACCAGGAACTGGGAACTGGGAACCGCAACGGAATTGTGCTGAACCGTGGACATCAATCAAAAATGTGAAAGTCGGGGTTCTGGGGCATGGAATTTTCAATTTCGACTTGCGGCTGAATTTATTAAATTGTTGCGGTCGCCTCGCTGTTTGCCAAGTGGCCGAGAAGCCCTTGCCATTGCCATAATTTATGTGTAGAAATTGAAATAATGTCGGAGCGTTTCCACAGAGACGCTGCCAAAGACCCTCGCCATGGCCACAAATTACAGTGGCTGCTGCAACAGCTCGCACAGCTTCCCATTCAGTGAGGACTCTTCAGTTTTCTAGTTTCTCTTCACTCAGCTCATTGACAGTCCTTCGGCTTGGAGCGTTAACGCATCAATCAATTTAAAGATGCAACCACAAAAGGCAACAATGAATGAATGATGGGCGTGGCAAAAACTGAACAGCAACGATTGGTACTTTTGCATTGACGTGACCGATTTTGATTTGTTATTTGGCTTGTCGAAGATTGCAAATCACTTCAAATGTCAGTTGAACGTGATGCATAACTTCAATCGCAATCGCAGCGCTCAACTAACAATTGGGTATATATAATATTATAAATATACGCATTATATACGTAATATATATCTATCTATAAATGATGTCCACAAATAAAAAGTATTCTTAAAGTTTCTTCAATGACTTTTAAAGTTAAATATGCTCTGACAGATAGGTCTAGGTCTAAGTCCAAAGATCGGATAGCTTGGCTTAAGCCAAATGTAAATAGCCTGGCACATGTGAGAAAAACACATCCTAAATTGTTAGAATTTTAGATCACGTTTCTCATTTAAACCAATAATTTGGCTATAAGTTAGTTCAAATTAACAATTTCAGAAATATAGTTGATAAATCAACAAAATGGATCTACAACACATTAGCATTTGATTAAGCAAAGGTTTTCCTTAACAACTCTATTAAAATAGACTCTGGTTTGGGATAAAAAAATCAATGAAAATACTTTAAAAACTTACCAATGTATTTCCAAATAGAAGTTCGCTTATATGCCTTCTCTTTCAACTATAAGGACAACCTCCTCCTGTAAAGGTAAATAGAAAAAAATTAGCTATAAAAAATATTCATAAGGAACACCATGTAAATATATTTGTAGATTTTAATTGAAAAGCTGTGTAAATATTGTAAGGGACCAACAGGCAGCAGCTGCCCAGTTCAAATTCAGCATCAAATCTCCATAAGAAAAATGTCAAACATATTGCACAATATATATTCTGATTAGTTATGTAATAGCCTATCAAACTTCAACCTCAGCTTCATGCAGCTCTTGGCTAGACCCCAATTCGGAAGCTCTATCAATTCAAAGAGCTGCACAATTTTTTTTTAGCCACTTGCAGAGGATGCACGCATTTTGTGAGGCAAATCGAGCGCAAAAATAAATAAAAGTTGCAACGAGAAAAAAATGGCCAGTGGGCCAGGGTTGGTTGGCACTTAAAGCTTTTAGCCCCGTTTCGGTTTATTGGCTGGGCTACCTATGCCTATGCCTGTGCGTTAAGCCATTTAGCAGGCGGCTTTTTTGCGACTGACCAAACAAAGCGCTTTTCAGCGAAATGTGGAATATTGCGCATACGCCGCGTGTTGCCTTATCGGAAGAAAGCGGCATTGGCAGCTAGCGGCAAGGCTCAGGACATGAGCCTGCATATTTATGAGCTTCGGCTAAGGACACTGCTTATGGGCTTTGATGTTGGGCGCGATTTGTTTTTTTTTTTTTTGTTCCACGCTTCGCAACAAATGTTGACAGACAGCCGGAAACGGCTCTGAGTCTTTGGGAGTAGGTGCTGTGGGGCATGGGGGTAAAGTGTGGGCTACATGTCTCTCCAGCTGTCCGTTCTGTCCTTCATAAGGTGTGTGGTGTGGGGTGTAGGCTGTAGAGTGTGGGTTATAGGGTGTGAAGTGTAGGTTGAAGGGTGCAGGTTTTCGGCTGTAAGGTGCACGGTGTAGGGTGTAGGGTGTATGGTGTGGTGTGTGGGGTACAGGCTGTAGGATGTTAATAAACTGGCGCGAATAAAGAGCTCAGCATACAGATTTGAAGGTGTAGGGTGCACGTCTGTCTGACTGGCCTAGTAATATATGGTGCACGGTGTAGGATATAGGATATAGAATATATGATATAAGGCTGGATTGCCCAGGATGCAGAACGTTAAGTGTAGGGTGTTGAATGGGCTGCTCTAGTATTAGAGCGCGTAACATTCAGATATTGAGGGATACGTTAGCAGTCAGAGCTACCCAGTTTAAGGAGTTTGGAGTGCACAGAATAAAGTGCTCAATGTGCAGGCTCAGGCATAAGTTGTATAAGGCTTAAAGTTGGGTGTGTGTGCCCAGTGTAAGCTTAAGTAGGTAGGAGCTGGAGTAGCTGGAAATGCAGAATTTAGCTCTTAAGCTGTTGAGTGCTGGGCCAGACAATTAGACGGGTAACCTAAATTGCTTTTGAGCTGCCACAGCATTTGTTTCGTGTCGTGTTGCAAGTGTTAGCCGGACACGCGCCGCATTGGCCCCATTTGACAGCTATTGACAAGCGCTTTTCACATTTATTGACAATTTCGGACTCGGCCATGAAGTGCGCTTCAATCTGTCATGTTGTTGACAGTGCACAAAAGTATCGTCAAATGGTATAGAAAGGGCTCACAGCATGGCCAACATGGCCAACAATGTTGCAGTTGAGTGCGCGATAAACTTGGCCGCAAAGTGACATTTGATAGTTCGCATAGAATGAAAGAAGAGCTCTGATACTTGATTCGCCTGTTTGACTGCTTTTAACAGTCTGTTAAAGTTCACTGAGGACATGAAGTCATTCGTTTTGCCTGCGCCTCGAATTAGGCAACACTTTTTTTTAAAGGGCGACTTAATTTGTTATGGCTCGAAAACGGCTAACAAATTATGCCTTCTATGTATATTTGGGCGCTTATCGAAAAAGGGTTCAGCTTAAACGCAAAGTCTTTGCAATTGGGCGTCTACGACTAACGACTGCCCTGCAGCTCGCAGTTGATTTATTAATATTAAAATTAATTATGCTAGAAAAGCTAACAAATGGCTTTTCTCTAGCTGTAGATTTTTATCCCCGAATCTACAAATTCTTTAAATTTATGTAGCATACAATAATGAAACTTCCTAACATATTTTTGACTGGCTGCAGGGTATATCCTTTAAAGTGGCTCTCTAGAGTTTAATTTGGCCGCTATGGCCGTCCTGCAATTAAACAACAATTAAAACACAAAAATTCAGCGCGAAGCATAGCCAGCTGGCAATTGAGCATGAGACAGGGGGAGGGTTTCGGTTGGCGGGTCTGGGTAAAATAGGGGCTGGCAGCTTGGGCCCGCACACAAATTACTGTGGCTTAATTAATGGCCAAGAGACGTTGTGTGCGTCAACAAGCAAAAGTTAAAGCCTGGCCGAAGAAAACCGAACAGGCAAAACAAAGTTTTTTTTTAAGGGACTGACAGTTGCTGTGGGTGGGGTTAGGACGTAGGGTAGGAGTCTCTGCTCTTGTGTAATGACAGGCGTTGACGTGGCCTACGTGAGTTGTTGGGGCGACAGGAAAGTGCGACATTTTTTAGCCAGTCAGACGCAGCTCAGCCGCAAATACGCCTGCGGCTCTTGACGTCACAGCAGCAGCAGCAACACGATGAAGATGAAGAAGACCAGCAACAACAACAACAACAACAACAACAACAACAAGAGCAACAACATGCGGAACAAGCCTGGCAACCAGAGCTATTTGACTAAGCAGCATTTTTGGGCATACTGTCGACAGATATTTTGTGTGTGTGTGTGTGTGGGTGGGTGTGTGCGCGTGTGTGTGTCATGTGCGACATGCTCATAAAAAGCGTTTATTTAGCCAAGAGCCAAGCAAGTGGCACATGACACCACCACCAACAACAACAACAACAAAAACAACAACAGCAGCGACAAACAAACAACGACAAAATGGCGACGTGCCAAAACTCCAGAACGTGTGATCTGCGTTGGGCGTTTGGGTAGCGGGGCGTGGCACGGCTGTTACATTACCCGGCCAGAGTGTGGGTAATGCTGATTTGGCTTTTACCACATGATTATGTCTTAACTGAAAACTTGCTGTTTTCGCTGTTATTCTTCTTGTTGTGGGCCCATTATTCTCGCTTTTCTTGTTCATTTTTTTTCTTTCTTCCATTTTTTTTGGTGATTGTTAACAACTCTTTCATGTCTCGCATTTTCTTTGTTTTCTTTCAGGCTGCCAGTTTGTTAGGACGCTTTGCATACCCCACTCCGAGGTCTGTTACGATGGTAAGTTGAGATATCAGCGACAACAGTCGATTAACTCGATATACACTACTCAAATCAACAACAACAACAACAAAAACAGCATCCGATTGTGTGTTTATGAAGTGTCAGCGGTTGTGTGTTTATCAACTGTGCGGAAATATGATAGTATTTAAAATGGTTGGGGTTAGGTTGGGCAATTGATACATATCTTAATGGCTAGGGTTTTTTTCGGTTACAAAATAAATAGTTGGGAGTATTATTAAATGTATGCAAAGGAAAAACAAAATATATCAAGCTTTATTAAAAATAAGTAGATATTTTAAATGCAGCTCTTAGACGAAGGAATAGAAAAGTGTTGAGTAGAGGTAGCCTGTTCTTTTGAAAACGTTAGCTTGATAGTTTAAAGTCCTATCATAAAAAAGGAACAAGCAACATATATTTTAGGCCCCATGCAAAATTATGTATATACCAAAGCGCAGGGATCTATCCTTAAAATTTGGTGTTCCTTTACATCTTGTGTAAAAACAAATCTAATTTTATAAATTTGTAGCATGAGCTGCTTGCAGACTGCAGTTCGTGGCCCTTCAATTTAGGGATGTTTTTTGCAGCACTTGAACATTTTTAATGACACGTCTTGGAGCGGTGTTCATTTGAAACCTGGACTGCACCCTCAAGGGCTGCTCAATTGCACTAAGTGCTCAAAAGCAGGCGGGCCTGCAATATAAAACGACTTCATACACACAGCGGGAGAGAGAGAGAGAGAGAGAGAGGGGGAGAGAGGAAAACGGCGATTGCCAACAGTTACCCAAAATGCGCTTTAGACCCTAAAAACCAAAAAGCATTTGTGGGTCAAATTGCGTTCGGGCACAGCTGAGTTTTGGGACCTATTTTCCCGGGGCTAGAGTACATTATCGTATTTGCCAAGCGCTTGAATGGCACATTCTAAAAAGGACACCCAAAACAAATTGGGGGCAGAGTGCAGGACGCAGGGCGCAGGACGTAGGACGCAGGACGCAGAGGCTTGTTCTCGCCAGTGCATTATCGAGAACACACTCAATTACTTATGTAAGCACTGTGAAATTTGTGAATGGCTGTGGCGGGGGTGGAACAGAACAATTGCACCTGCTGCTTGGAGAAAACCTGTGAAAAATTGTGAAAATTGCAATGGCAAAAGTCAAAAAATGTTCGCACGGCAACATGAAAGGGAAAGGTGCACTCAGAAAAAAATGCTGAGCATAAAATAAGACGGATTTCAAGTGTCAAAGTTTGCTAAGCCTCTTACGATTTTGTTCTTTGTAATAGGTAAAATACTCAAATACTCTAAAAGAATTCCTTAAATCAACTAGTCGAGAGTGCTCGACTCGGAGATACCCTGAAATCCAAAGGGCTGTCTTTAATACCTTCGATGTTTAGTGTCAGATTCTTATAAAAATTTTAGGGCATAAATATCGAATACAAATGTGTGTAAATACCTTAGACAAAGACCATGTCCACAAAAATCTGTGCTTTAAAATGTTGTGCTGTAGGTATTGAAAAACGTTCAGAATTCGGAGACGATTTGGATCTGTTGATGGGTTTAGCCCGCATAGTTATCCATGATTAGAAAATCTGCAAAAGGCAATAAAAGGAGATATGTTAAAGATTTCATGTTGGGCAAGAAACTGGCAAATAGCATATATTTGCACAAGATTCAGAGTTCATATGAGTTAATTAATGAATGATAGAAAAACAGGAGAGTGAAGTGTACAGAGTATTTTTGTCAGTGTATACACACATAGTATATTGTGTGGCTGGGAACTGCACACGCAGTTTTTCGCACACCTCCAACCCCGCATTTGCATTATGCAAATGATGTTCGAGGCAAGCAGCAGCAGCAGCGGCAGCAAGGATATACATTTAAATGCTCGTAAATCAGGGTGAAAACAAAAGGTGTCCGATGTGTGTGTGTGTGTGTGTCTGGGGCAGGGACACGCGGATTGCGAGCGGGTGAAGGTGGATTGTGTAAGACACGCGCTATTAATGCAGTTACATGGCCTATTAAAATTGTGGAATAATTTGCATTCCGACAGACAACATCTTTGGCAAGTGCATACCAACCACTGGAGTCGACGTGGAGGACATTGAGAGGTAATTAAGCTTGTTTGAATTTCTCCAGGGTTTAATTTTGATTGTGTGCGTGTGTGTGTGCTCGCATTGCAGGACACCACTCACCGAGGAGCAATCACGTCTGCTGGCAACCATGCTGGAGGAACTGCAGGGCGCCGGCCTAGGCTGGGATCATCATTATGTGCAGTGCCGCATCCAGGGCGCGCTCTTCTCGCTGCAGCGCCAACAGCAGCTGCCACCGAATCTGTGCGCCAATCTGGCGCCGGCTCCACCCGAATACGGTGATCCGGCGAGCGCGTTAGCCTACGTGCGCTTCACGCCACCGGAGCCGGTCGAACAGCTGGAGGCGAATGTGGACTATTACGAGCAGCTGCTGCCAGCCAGGCCGGCGCAATTCTATCCGACGATGCGCAAGAAACAGCCACAGGACAGCGGCTTCAATAGCATACTGCATCAGCTGCAGCTGCAGGATCGAAGGCGACTGCGTCACGATCCGCTGGAGCTAGAGCACTTTGGCAAGCTGGACGGGCATACGAAGAGCACGCAGCTGGAGCTGCCGAGCGTAATGGATGCCTTTTTGGATACGGAACGGCAGCGCATTGAACGCGAGCAGCAGCTGCGTCTCGCCGAGCAGGATGGCAGCGCGGCAAAGGTGGAGCAACAGAATCGTTTGGAGCTCTATCAAATACTGGCCGACTCTGAGCCCGATCCGCAGCCGTATCAGCGCAAGCCGCAGCCGGCGAATGCCATGGACCAGCTGGAGGCCATTGTTGAGAAGCAGCAGCACCAGCAGCACAAGCAACAGCAGCAGCAGCAGGAGGATCAGCCGCAGGCCGTGCCCGTCTATTTGCCCGAGGAGCTGAACGAATCCAGTGAGCTCTATTTTCCGGACAACTATGCGCCGCTGAAACGTCGTGGACAGCAGCAGCCCGTGGAGCCGCCGAAGCGTTCCTTCTTTCGCGAGCTGGCCAACGAGCAGGGTCTGCCCCAGGAGCCGTTGGTCCAGCTGGCTGCCCAGCCGCAGCCACAGCCGCAGCCGGAGCTGATGAAGCGTCGGCCGGAGCTCAGTGCCCGGGAACAGCAGGAGCTGGCATTTGAGAGCAGCTTGCGGCGCAACTCGCTGACACCCTTGGAGGAGGAGGCCATGCTGGCATCCAATAGCTATCCACGCGCCCTTCAAAATCAGCGCGTGTTTACGGAGGGTGGCATGCTGCTTGTGCCGCAAGAGGAGGAGCAGCAGCAGCTGGCAGACTCGGCCCAGGCGGATGAGCCGGCGGATATCAAGCAAACGCTGCTGGCCAACATGTTGGGCTTTGCGCGTCACGAGCGGCTCGATGTGAAAAAGCCGGGTCCGCAGCTGGGTCCACCGGCTGAGCTGAGCCACCAACTGGAGACGGAAAAGCCGCGATCGCACACGGAGGATGTCAACAAGGAGGTGATGCCAGCCCACGTCAAAGGCGGCGATGTCAACGAGCCGTACAAGAAGAAGAAGCTGGTCAATGAGCAGCACTCGGACGAGGATCATGCGCCGCACACCGTAGACACTGAATATGCCCATGTGTTCGTCAAGAACCCGTAAGTACTTAGTCAATTAACTGTAGAAGCCTTTTATGAACAACTCTCATTTACTTGACTCTGTCTCGGTTTCATCTCTTGCAGTATCGACAGCTGGTACGATGGGCAGCGCATTATGAATGAGCTGGCGCAAATACTACACATGCAGGGATACTTTTCTTATTTAACGTACGTAGCATGCGCATGGTCAAATATATCACGAACTTTTAACTGCATTGCAATTTATTTTAAAATCTGATTTACAGCTGTGGCTGAGCAATATACTTTTTGCGATGTTGTTATAATTTGATGTTCATGATTTAGCTTCACATGAAGTTTAAAGAGCTTTGTAACTTATCGCTGTTTCAAAAGCAAAAACTTAATTTTTCTCTTTTTTAATTTTACTATTCCACTTGTAATGAGATATATTTTCATACTTTTTTGAGTTTTTAACGTGACAACTACCTTCATGTTAAATCTCATGTTAAATAACCGGAAGCTGTGCAATCACTGTATTGTTTGTGATACGATTTGTAAATTATTTATAATTTTTAAAGAACGATTTTTGAATTGTAAGGATACTTTACTTTGTAGGGTCGTCGCTTTTGTGTGCCTTGTAAAATTTTGTAGTTAATGTTAGAGGTAATTTTAATCATTGGGTCGGAATAGGCACTACAATTGAGTGCTATTGTTTTCATCTTAGTTCCTTCAATTTTCCCTAATTAATCTATCGCGACACCAATTGCAGCGTTCAACCACACGAAGTCAGCTTCCGGGTGGACTCAAACAACCCCGAGCGCAAGACGGCCGCAGATGTGGCACGCTACATCAATGAGAACCGCGGCGTCAAGAATAACATCCAGCGACGCGTCGGCTTCTATGTGTTGCACGCCGGCGTCGGGGATCGGGTCAAGGATCTGCGTGATCCGAGCATTTCCGCGTCCCGCATTGAGCTCGCCGAACAGGGACCGGATGTAACCCACATTATGGCGTACATGTTCGCCGGTGCAGGCGCAGCGGCTGTGATTGTGATCTTTGTGACGCTGATTCTGATCAAGCGACACGATCGCAAGCGCGATAAGCTGGGCGGCTTGCAGTCGGGCATGTCGGGCGCCGAGAGCTGCAGCAAGGATTACCAGGAGCTGTGCCGCGCGCGCATGGCCGGCAAGAATGGTAACACAGCGACTGGAAATGCTGGCAATGGTGGCAATGGTGGTGGGGCTGGTGGTGCTGGTGGCAGTGGTGCTGCTGGCTCAAATACCACTGAGCAGCCGCACAGCGGACGCATTATGTCGCTGAGTAAGGAGAACGAGGGCCGGCCACCATCCTCACGCTCCAGCACCTCATCGTGGAGCGAGGAGCCAGCATTGACGAACATGGACATCTCAACCGGACACATGGTGCTGGTACGTAGAAATCCGCACACTTTCTAACACCTGCCTCTCTTATTAATCGCCCAAATTGTGCAGTCTTATATGGAGGACCATCTGCGCAACAAGGGACGTTTGCAGCGCGAGTGGGAGGCGCTTTGCCGCTACGAGGCCGAGCCGAGCGCTCGGGATGCCGCCTCCCAGCCGCAGTGCGCCAATCTGAATCGACCTGGCGCACCGCTGCCCTACGATCACTCGCGGGTGGTTCTCAATCACTTGGCCAATGCTGAGGGTCTCGACTATGTGAATGCTTCAACAATCGTGAGTAGACATTCCTTATACTTATATTAAATATCAAGGATTTATCGAGTACAACTTAAAAGCTGGTGATGATAGCTTAAAGGTTTACAGATATTGCCCCTATAGATATGCGATTTATAAAAAGAGCTGATTAAGATCAATCATTTTTCTATGGTAGCTTATCGTATTATTTCAAATAAGATATTCACGCTATGAGACGAGATGTGATAGCCACATTTGATGATGATAAATTAACAGCTAAAGCTACTTAGTATCGAAATGCTTAAAGATGTTGAGCATTTCATATTTCTCTGGGTTCACACTCTCATACCCCGTACATTTTTCTATTTACCCGGTCAGACCGATCACGATCCCCGGGCACCCGCTTATGTGGCTGCCCAGGGTCCGTTACCCTCAACGTTGGCGCACTTTTGGCAAATGATTTGGGAGCAGGGCGCCGTTGTTATAGTCGCCTTATGTCGCCTGCAGGAGAATGGAGAGGTCGCCTGTGCGCGCTACTGGCCGGAAGAGGGAGCTGAGGTTTATCACATCTATGAGGTGAGCCTGCCTGCAACTAGACCCCTGCAACCCGTGGCAAGCGTAACTAAGATTCGATCTCATCCCTACGCAATAGGTTCACTTGGTTAGCGAGCACATTTGGTGTGATGATTACCTCGTACGTTCTTTCTACTTGAAAAATTTGCGCACTAGCGAAACCCGCACCGTCACCCAGTTCCATTTCCTGTCCTGGCCGCAGATGGGCGTGCCGCCGCAAGCCAAGGCGCTGCTGGACTTTAGACGGTGGGTAGCGATTTACGCAGATGATGCCCCGTTTGCTGCTAACTAATCTCGTCTCTCTTGTAAACCGCAGCAAGGTGAACAAGTCGTATCGTGGCCGCTCCTGTCCTATTGTGGTGCATGGCAGCGCTGGCGCCGGACGCACTGGCTCCTACATACTGTTGGATCTGGTGCTGGGACGCATGAACAAGGGTGCACGCGAAATAGACATTGCCGCCACGCTGGAGCATCTGAGGGATCAGCGCGCCGGCGTGGTGGCCACGCGGCAACAGTTCGAGTTCGTGCTGATGGCCGTCGCCGAGGAAGTGCATGCCATACTAAAGGCTCTGCCGGCGAATACGTCCGGCGAGAAGCGTGAGCTGGACAAGGAAAGTGGCGGCGCCGCTACCACCAAGGAGCCGCTTAAAGAGGACAAGGCGCAGGAGGCGGCCGAAGAGGAAGCACCCACCAGCAGCAGCAAGGCAGCAGCTGCCGC